GTGGTGGTGGTGGTGTTGGCGGTGGTCACTCGTCAAGCTACACGGCTCTTCACAGTCGGCCATCACGTGTCAGCCTCAACAACTAAGCAATTGATCATCCCTCCTCCCTCCCTCGTCCTCCCTTCCTCCCCCTACCTCGTCCTCCTCCTCCCCCCTCCCTCCCCTCGTCCCTCCTCTCGTCCCTCCTCCCTCCCTCCCTCCTTCCCTACCCCTTCATCTCCTTCCATTTCCCCTTTCTCCTTACTCTCATTCGTCTCCCTACTCTCCATCCTCCTTCTTCACTCCCCTTCCTTCCCTCCTTCCTCTTCCCCCTTCCTCTTCTCCCCCTTCCTCTTCTCCCCTTCCTCTTCTCCCCCCCTTCCTCCCCCCTTCCTCTTCTCTCCCCTTCCACTTCCCCTCCTTCCTCTTCTCCCCTCCTTCCTCTTCTCCCCTTCTCCCTTCCACTTCCCCCTTCCCTTCCCCCCCTTCCTCTTCCCCCCCCTTCCTCTTCTCCCCCCCTTCCTTCTCCCCTTCCTCTTCCTTCCCCCCTCACTTCCCCTTCCTCTTCCCCCCTTCACTTCTCTCCCCCCTTCCTTCCCCATCTCCCCCTCCTCCTACCTCTCCCTCCTTTCCTCCTCTCCCCTCCTCTCCCCTCTCCCTCCTCTTCTCCCCCTCCTCCTACCTCCCTCCTCTTCTCCCCCCTCCTCCCTACCTCTCCCCCTCCTCCCCTCCCCCACTGCATCAGTCCCTATGTGGCAGTTCTGAGTGTTCTTCGTCTCTCTGGAGTGTACTTACGTGTTTGTATGTGTATCATTTTATTTTTGTATTTTTTATTTGTACGCTTTTGTATGTGTGTTATGGTGGATATTTGAATGTTTGTGTGTTGTGTGTCTGTATTTATATGTATGTTTGTGTGTGTTTGTGAATATGGTTGTACTAAAGTGTGTGTGTGTGTGTGTTATTGAGGCTATATCAGGCGTTTTCCTGTCTACCTCTTTCCGTCCACCTGCCTGTTTATCTGTCCACCTGTCTGTCTAGCTATTTGTCCACCTGTCTATCTGTCCACCTGTCTGTCTAGCTATCTGTCCACCTGTCTATCTCTACCTTGTCTGTCTGAGCGTCCAGCCGTCTACCCAGTTCAGTATTATCCTGGTAAAGCCGCTTCCTGGAACCTTCCCATGAGGTAAGCGTGTCACTCTACCTCTCCCCTCCTCTCTCCTCTTTCCCCCTCCCTCCCCTCCCTGTCTGTCTAGGTTGCTAGCGTCAACGCCCTCCCCTCACCTCTCCACGCCTCAAGTCCCTCCTCCTCCCCTCAGTCTCCTCTCTCGTTTTTCCCCTCTCCCAGACATTTCCTCCCCTACCGTCTCCTCCTGTTCCCCCTCTCTCGTCTCATCTCCCTCCTCCTGCCCTCCCCCCTCCCTTTCCCCTGCACTCCCCAGATTTAACTCGTCACAAAACATAAACAAAGGAGTCAGCTGGGCGCCATACCCTCGTTGATAACCCCGGCTCAGTACTCCTCCGTCAGGTCACCATGGCCCTGCTGGACAACTTGACCTTTACCTGTTGTAGTATTTTATATAATTATATGGTCGTGGCAGGGTGTTAGAAGGTACTTAACCGAACTTAGCGTTAACCTAACTTAACCTAACCCAAATTGCTCTGATCTGATGTAACTTAACGCTAACCTAACTTAATCCAACCCAGACGCTAACGCAACCTCACTTAACACTAACCTAACCTAACTCAGCCTAACCTTCTCCTAACCTAACCAGAGGACAGACAATAAGAGATGAGTTTAAGGACGGTCTGGTGTTCCATCCTTGATATTAGGCCGGGCCAGACCGCGGGGGGGTGTTGTAGTGTTGTGTGCACCTTGAGTCCTCTCCTCTTACCCTCTCCCACTTCCTCCCATTCCCTTTATCTCTCTCTCTCCCTCCCTCTCTTTTACCCTCTCCCACTCCCTCCCATTCCTTTATCTTTCTCTCTCTCTCTCTCTCTCTCTCTCCCTCCCCTCTCCTTTTACCCTCTCCCTCCCTCCCATTCCCTTTATCTCTCTCTCTCTCTCCCTCTCTTTTACCCTCTCCCATTCTCTCTCTCTCTCTCTCTCTCTCTCTCTCTCTCTCTCTCCCTCCTCCCTCTCATCCTATAATTCCCTCTCCTTCCCCCTTGTCTCTCTCCATTCCTCTCATTTCCACTCCTTCCTCTCTCCTCCCATTCTTTCTCTCTTTTCTCATCCCCTCTCCCATTTCCACTACCTTCCTCCCCTCTTTCTCTCTCTTTCTCTCTCCTCCCTCTCACTCCCATCCTTCCCCCTCTCACTCCCTCTCTGTCCTGTTTTTTGTCAACGTGGTCAAGCAGACGAGTGTGTTGGGGAGTGTGTGGTCAAGGGCTGTTGCTACCACCTGGAATACGTGTGGTGGATTGTGGTGGCTGGTGGATTGTGGTTGATTGTGGTGGCTGGTTGATTGTGGTGGCTGGTGGATTGTGGTGGCTGGTGGATTGTGGTGGATGATATATGGTGCAACTGAACTCTGGCCTTGAGGTGAAACTTGTGTGTGTGTGTGGCCACGTGACGATAATGAAAAGTTGATGTGAGACTGTTGGGTTGTCCCCGTCTAATACTGTTTATAACAGGACCTTAATAGTTACCTACGGAAGTATAAGTGTGTGTGTGTGTGTGTGTGACTGTAAGCATAACAGTATAGTGGAATGTGGTGACTAAGCACATACACACACACAGTCACATACATAAACAGTCTGGGGTCTTTGTGTACACGGGGAGGGGGTGATGGAATGGTGAGGAAGGGGTGGGAAGGGAAAGTGTAGTATAGGAGAGAAGGAAGGAGGGAAAGGATGGAAGGGGAGGCATATAGGAAGGAGGAGGAAGGGAAGCAGACAGTATAAAATGGAGGAGGTAGGGAGGGGGGAGGAAGCACCCCCATCCACCCCACCCCCCCCAAGAACGATTGTCTATTTCGGTAACTACTTGTACAATCTTCCTCATATCACTACACAAGAATAGCCACCCCAGCTTATAGATTAGCCACCCTGACGCTATTTGGGCGGGATTATGTTTGGTACGGGTTAGGCTAGTGTTAGGGTGGTTAATCTTCAGGTGTCCTTCCTTCCTTCCTTCCTCGGTAACGTTAAATATCAAAAAAGGTGAGTTACATTTTTAGTGTTATATTGGTAACTGCGTGTGTGTGCGTGCGCGTTCGTGCAGAAATCTCATTTAGTGAAGTGAGTAGAATGAGCCCGGGCAGACCTGCTGGTGACGTCACAGTGTTCCTCAAGAGATTTGGGCTCTACTGTTTACTCCGACCCACCACCAGAGGGCCACCATGACTCGTGAAATATCTTCCCTTCCTCTCCCTTCTTCCCTCCTCCCTCCTCCCTACTCTTCTTCCTCTCCCTACCCTTCTTCTCTCCCCTTCTTCCCTTCCTCTCCTCCTCCTCTCCCCTCCCCCCTCTCTCCCTCCCGCCCCACACAGGCTTTAAAAACCTCATATATCAGCTATATCGTCACTGAGCACTAGGGACTAATCTCACCTGAGTGTCTGGGATATTAATAAACATCTAAGTATATTACCAGTAACAAAAAGTAACGACATAAAATAACGATAATAGCGATATACTTTCGTTTATGAAGTTTATCCCATCAGTTATTGGTCCTGGGTTATGACGTAATAGGAACCATGGTCGTGGATTGGTGAGGTAGGCACGGGGGAGTTATGACGTTATAGCCTCCGTGTTGTGGATTGATGGAATAGACGTGGGGAATTGTGGCGTCATAACCTCCGTGGTCGTGGATTGGTGGAATTGACGTGGGGAGTTGTGACGTCATAGCCTCCGTGGCCGTGGATTGGTGGAGTTTAGCGTTGGTTCCGCATTGACCTTGTCGCAGTGGGTGGGCGCGAGCAGTCTAGGCCAGCGGGTTTGGTAGGTTGTTCAAGGTCACGCGAGCATTGATTCCCACTGGGGATGTGTATATGTTGGTTAAACAAGATGTGTTTGGTCTGGGGGATTGGTCTGGTGGGGAGAGAGGAAGTGTTTGGTCTGGTGGGGAGAGGAGGAGGAGGTGGTGGGTGTGTTGTAGCCTTGGGTGGGTGGTGATTGGTGTACTAGGCAGGTCACCAGGTAGTACAGGTTACCAGGGTGGCAATAAGAACTCTACTACTTTAAATTGTTTCAGCACACACTTGCAGAGAGGCCCTCAAGGTACGAGTGACTTATTGCAGCCTTCCTCCTTCCTTCTGTTCCTTCCCTCCCTCCCTCCTCCTTTCCTTTCCTTTCCTTTCTTTCCTTTCCTCCCCTATACCCTCCCCCTATACCCCCCTATACCCCCATACTCACACTAACCAAAAGACCAAACAACATTTATAATATTTTACTGAACTAATACGAATCCTATCAACCTCACATTAGTTCAAGATTCTACCAGTAGTCGGAAATATGTGGTGTGTGTGTTTATCATTGCTAGTTGATGTTTGTCATAGTTCTAGTATCTATTCATGGCTAGTATGTATAAACAGTTCTAGTTTAAATTAGCTATTGGGTGATAATATGCTATTAGCGTTATCATTGTCCGGTATTGATTGTTAGTTAATGGACTGTAGGGAAGTGATTGTGTGGCTATTATTTATCGTATGTGGGATGGGAGGCTGTGTGTGTGGTGGCCAGCGCTTGTGTGGTGCTACGACGCAGATGCTAACTACTAGTAAGATAATTTGGCCACACAATGAGATGGAGAACGCGTGGCCTTGCATGTGTTATTTGGGAGGGGGGGGGATGTGATTGCGTGTGCTTGAGTGTGTGATTGCTTAAGTGTGTGTGTTTGTGTGTGCTTGTGTGTTAGCCTGTGTACCTATATGTGTGTTTGTGTACGTATATGCTGTCTGTGTACGTATATGCCTGCCTGTGTGTACGTATATGTGTGTAGATAGTTAAACATGGTGTGTCGGGGCCCGGGGGTTGTGCCCGCCTCAACACTGCTTGACAGATCTAAAAACCTCTACCCCCACACCACCATCTTACTGTCATGTGATGGGCCTATCGTTCTTGTGGTGGGCTATCGTCATGTGGGCTATCGTTCTTGTGGTGGGCTATCGTCATGTGGGCTATCGTCATGTGGGCTATCGTTCTTGTGGTGGGCTATCGTCATGTCGTGGGTTATTGCAAGCATTACCAGAAAAAAAACAATTTGCAAGTTTGATATTTTTTATTGCATTCCGGGCGAGACTAAACACAGCAATCATTCAAGTCAGACCTCATGGTTCAGTCTAAGAGGAACAAATAAACACGAGGGGCTATAGGTAAACAGGCGCTATAGGTAAACAGAGGCTATAGGTAAACAGAGGCTATAGTGACACTGAGGCTGTAGGTAAACAATGAGGCTATAGGTAAACAGAAGCTATAGGCATACTTCTATTTTCTCGGCTCATCTGGCTATCGGTGGGGAGGGTGGGAGGGGGCAGCTCTATCGGTGAGGAGAGGAGGAGGGGGTGGGAGGGCAGCTCGGTGGGAGAGAGAGAAGGGAGGGGGGGGTTTTCTAGCCAAGAATGTTAATAATGATGTTATATTATCGAGGTTGGGTGAACATTCCTCACATTCTTTGGTAAATTATAACCCCGTTGTGAGGACACAAGAATGTTTATACCTTGATGTGTCAGGTTAGGTTAGGTTAGGTTAGGATAGGATAGGATAGGATATATTTACACTAGTAACCTAACCTAACCTAACCTAACCATATTTGATGTTCAGTCCATACAAGGATAATGTTTTATTGACTAATGATTGGTTAGTGGGATTTCAGGATGTTGTTTTTTAGAAGTCATGATTGGTTGATTGGTGGTAGTTCTGTCATGATTGGTTGGTTAAGTATGGTAGTTCTTGAGTCGCAATTCTTTATAACTACCATTCTTTTGTGCAGTATGACTGTGTGTATGTATGTATGTATGTGATATAATCGCGTGTATATAATCGTGTATGTATATATATGTATGTGGTATAATCGTGTGTATATGACCGTGTGAGTGTGTCGTATAATCGTGTGTATATGACCGTGTGAGTGTGTCGTATAATCGTGTGTATATGACCGTGTGAGTGTGTGTCGTATAATCGTGTGTATATGACCGTGTGAGTGTGTCGTATAATCGTGTATGTATAATTGTGTATGTATAATCATGTGTATATATATATAGTACTATTGATAACTTACCAACCTCTGTATGTGTGTGTTTTAAAGGTACTATGCTGGAGGACCGTGCCAACTGATAGGTCGATCCTTGGTGAGGTCGCTAGGGGCTCTGAACCGTTCATGAGGCAAGTCTTCATCGCTGCTCCTGAAGACATCGATGACGCCACCTTCAGGAAAAAGGTAACTATGGAGTACCAATGTTCTGTGACCCTGTATTTTTGTTTTACTTTTTTATTACTTTTATTAATTTTTATAGTTTTGACTAGTTGTTTACCTGTGATTAATATAGAACAGGTAGATATTCTGAGTCTGGCATTATATTATAGTCAGGTGGCGTGGATGAAAATTACTCTCCACCAACCAGAAGCCTGCAAGAGGTGCTCCTCCCATTTACGTCACGTCTGCAACCACCAATCAATAGCTCTCTTCTGCGCCTTACCCTCTTGACGTCATAGTGAACCAGCCAATGGAAATCCAGGACGGTGTTATGTAGGCAGGAGCTTGTGGGTGGGAAACGGTTGACTTGACCGTGCCAACATCAATACTTGGCAGACGTATTTTAGACACTTTAACTTACGTGGCAGATAATCATAACTGAACAAAAATCATTATTAAACAAACTTCATTATCAAGAATAGACTAAATAAAAAAAAAATAAACTCGCTCTAATTATATCCCAACCAACAGCGGAAAGTTATATTTAGACCAGCAGGCATTAATGGTCTTACGTGGTGGCGGGGTAAGAGTACGCGCGTCAACACCACCCTCCCCCCCCCTCCCCTCCCATGCTTATGGTGCAAAATGATACGGTGGTGATAGTGGTGATGAGGATAATGGTAGTGGTGGTGATAATTGGGGGGGGAGGGGGTTAGTTGCGGTGATAAAGGGAATGGTGGTAGTAATAATGGTAGGGGCTGGGATAGTGATAATGGTAGTATCAAATGAGCTACTACAGTTAACTGCGATGGGAGATAGGTAACAATATTGGTCATGGTAATGGTAGAAATCAGACAGGGAAATAATGGTAATGGGAGGGAGGGAGTGGATGATGGTGATAATGATACGAATAATGATGAAATTGGATGATAATGATTCTACTTAAGTGTGGATAATACGAGGAATGGATCACCTGAACATTACACACCCCTAATGCTACTTCGGAATTAGGTTAGGTTAAGGTACAGTAGATTAAATTAGGTTAGATTAGTGTTTGGGTAGTTAATCTTTAGGTGAAATAAGCTGGGGTATCTCATCAGGTGAAATTAGCGGGGGTATCTAATCAGGTGAAATAAGCTGGGGTATCTAATCAGGTGAAATAAGCTGGGGTATCTTATCTTCACGTTAAACAGAACATATTTGTTGCGCCATATTCTTGTATAAATTTCCCTAAGGACTTCAGGAGTCGTTTATTATTCCGTATCCTTCAGCTGTCAATATCGACCATGGGTTCGTAATGTAAACAAACATAACTCGTGTACAGTAATATTTTTTGTTTTACGGGCATTAGTCCACCCGGGCACAGGTCACTGACCCACATTGGGCCTGGGGGCGAAAATGTAATAATAATAATTCATAGTAAATAGACTTTATAATAGAAATAGAAATTTTAAAATAAAAAAATTAATTAATAATAATAACACTGTAATAATAATAATAATAAAGAAATACAAAAATGAAACAACAAATCACAATTGAGACTGCAATTGTGTGCAAACGAGGCAGAAAGTCAGCAACCTGGGACATGGTTACAATTTTCGTGATGCCATGTAGCAGCAGGGTCTACCATTAGACAATACATTATGCTTCCAATATCTTCCCAGGCGGTAGTACCTCCCTGTTTCATAGCTGCCTACTACCTACTACCTAACAATAATGTCAATAAAAAATATAAACTTGAGAAATTTATGAAGGATGTGGTACTGAATACTTTTAAAATTAAGTTGTTTTAGTAGCGCGATATTTTATTGTATATTTATAAGTTTATAACCAACTGTATCGTCATTGTCGACTTTGGATCTTGATTGAGTCATTTGACCAGGTTTGATGACGCAGGTGACAGGTAGTGGGGGAAAACGTCACTCCAGTGTTCTACGGCTAGTACAGTTTTATATCTTGTCATTTTGTTCATGGCTTTCCTATGAGTCGTCTCCAGATTAGCTTTCCCTTATAATTAATGTAATTATTTCTAAGGGTGAATTCAACCGGGGTGGAGATTCTTCATGTGATCTAGACTCTAACTCATTTTAACAGATTTGCCTCGGACATATTTAAATTTAATCGGTACACCAGCAACTCTATTATAACTTCAATATCGTCATTTAAGGGAATATTTATGTTCTAAGGACGTGCTTGTGTTTCTGGAGCAAGAATTAATCCTTCGTCAGCTTGTTGGACCTGTTGCTGGTTCTCAGGATATCTGATTGGTGCCATCTGTGTGTGTGTTCCTAATTGTCACTGGGTCAAAATGGGCATATTCTGTAGCTGTGTCAGGCATTCAGTACTACGTCAACAAGGTTTATAGATTATTTTACGACAATATATAAGAGGAAAGCAGGAGTTGTGTTTTCTAATGACAAATGGGTTTACCATGTCAGAGTAGAGAACCTGATTTTCCTTAATAATACAACACTGAGTTAAGAATGTGCCCCTTGTATTGCAGGTGTGGGTGAACAGGAAGCAAGCAACCCACAACCTTCTGCGGCCTGGCTGTAGATTCTACATTTGTTCGCTGTCCACCACCACTGTTGTGTACAAGGGCCAGCTCACTTCTGATCAGTTCTGGGTTTACTTTGGTGATTTGAATGTAAGTAATTAAATTTATATCTACCAATTTCAATGAGTTTTGTTAGATATTTTACTTCTTGGCATGGGTACAGTTTGTTTATGTAATCCTGTATTTTTCCATCTGTAATAGGTAGATGTCTTAATTATTGGGAGTATGTTTGTTTAAGAGCATATATGTTGTTGAGGAGATGTACAGGGTATTTGTGTTATTATATTTGAAAATTAAATAATGCACCGTATAGACCTGTATATACTGTACATAGATTGATTTATATATAATTAATCTAGATATTTGTATGGAATTGCTCTTTGTTATACAGGTAGTAATATATAAATGGTGAAACCTAACTTATGACTTTATTTATTTTACAGAATCCTAACTTTTCCACCTACATGGCTCTGGTACACACCCGGTTCTCCACCAACACCTTCCCATCATGGGAGCGAGCCCACCCACTGAGGTAGGTAATATGTCTTTTCTGGTAGTTGAAGTATTGCAGCAACTTGTTCTTTTGATGTAGTGTTTCTAGGCACATCTATTTTAGTGACGTGTTCTCTGTATTCTATTTGACTCGTTTAATTTTTGTAGCTTACATCTTGAGTCCATGCTTCATACACACACAATATTTTCAACACAATATGGAACTACTTAACTGAAAAATGCATCTCACTTCATAATTCCCAGATGTGTTTTTTACTAATTTATCTATATAAAAATAAAGGGACTTTGTCACTGTCCATAAAGATGAATTGTCTGCACAGGGGTATTGGTATATTGTGTATTAGGCCAGGTATAGTTATATTGTAACAAGAAATGCAAATTTAACATTATAATTACTGTATTATTCATATCGTATATGTTTTCTATGCGTGTTAATGAGCACACGGACAATATATTTAACACAAATTATATACAGTATCCATAAACTGTACAAAGAAACATCATAATTTCTAACTTTTTTCATTTGTTTGTGTTGGGAAACTACAACCTCTTCACTCTCCTCCCCAGGCTAATGGCACACAATGGTGAGATCAATACCCTGCGCGGTAATGTGAATTTAATGAAGGCAAGAGAGGGAGTGATGAAGAGTGCTGAGTATGGTGATGAACTGACTAAGCTGTACCCTGTGGTGGAGCCCAACCTCTCTGACTCAGGTGCTGTTGACTGTTGCCTCGAGTTCCTGGTTATGGCCGGTGGACGCTCTCTGCCTGAGGTTAGTGTTATATCGTGTGATAATTTTACATAGATATTGTGTCGTCGACTATTTAAATAAATCGGGAATATCACTGGTATTAAAAGTGGAATAGAAATACAGTACTTTACTCTCGGTTCATAGTAAAAATAACAAAGTTTATGAAGAACACAAAGTAAAAATATCACAGCAATAAAAATATTAAGAATTAAAACTTGTAGAAATGCATTATTCATTCTGTACTCCACATACTGCTATTGATAATCTGACTCATCAGCCTGCTGCCTGTAGGCCACAAATGTCTTCATAATGATAACAAACTACAGTAGGTAAACATTAAATGATTCAGAGTATTAGTTGATCAAAGAAAATTAGACGCCAACAATTTTATATTGGGTAAATATACTACGTAATGAGGAGTATAATCCTTCATTTTATACATACCGTATAGTACAGTTTATTAGTTATTACAAACACCTTTCACTTAACCTTCTTTCATTGGTCCATAGTGTATCTTGGCTGTCAGGTCTTTGGTGGTACAGTAGAGGCTCTTTTTAAATGCCAACAGCATCTGATGTTCCCACACAGTCTCCCATCTAAATATGAATAAGACTCAATGATGCTTAACTTCACTGGTCGGATGGGAAGCTGTGTTTTTCAACCTTTATGCAAATTGTGGAATTCCTATACATAGTCCACTTTGTAGTTTGAGTTGGGTGTCTATTAGTGTTTCTAGTTCTCCTAATACTTTCCTATTAGTTCACCATCAGTACATTGTAAGAGTAATGGAGACAGCTTATTAATGTATGTATTAATATGTGTAATATTTCTTTATATTGGATACTTTACCTGTCCTATCAAAGCAGCTTATCCTGTACAGTTCTGTACAAACTTGTATCTAGAACATGTTGAGGCTTCTTTTTATTCATAATTTAACTAAACAAAATCAATGCAATTTTTATTATTTATGCTCAAAATTATCTTATATTTCTTAAACTTTTCTTTTTCTTGCTGTTTTTTTTTCACAGTTATCTTACTTTTAAAAATTTTCAGTTACTCAGGTGAACGCTTGTAGCACATTAACATAGATATTGTGGTAGTCTCTCTCTATATATATATACAGTATTGCTTTTATTGTACTTCACGCCTTACAGACTGATCATTCTCATTAATACTATCTTGTTTATTTCATCAGAGCATCACACAACCTCGTAAATGACTGGTAAATTACATAAAAGAACTAAGGTACTACTGGACACAACTTCAGCTATGTCAGTACCTATCCATCTCTCATGCATGAAACAACACTGTATATTACAGACACTTTCATATTACTTGTATGATTCATAGTTTTTCAGTTTACTCATTTACTGGAAGTTAGGTTTGTTAGTGTAAACTGTAACTGCATTTCTTCTTTTACTTTTCTATGCATTGTGTACACACTTTGGTTAATCCTGCCATAGAATTCAGTCATATTGTTCTTTCACATTAATATTTTCTTTTCTCATAAGTTTATTTCTTTATTTGCATATCACAGATTGCTTGCTGGCTTGCTTTGCATTCTTTAACATGAATAAAACAGAATTTCTGACTAAATATCCTCCAGTATTTTATAAAAGATTACTTTTAGGCATCTGTATTATGGTGGGGAAGAGAATTAGTTTCCTACAGTACAGTACAGTACTGTATATAGTCAGAAATAATTTTATTCTTTGTACAGTTTTTTGTTGTTTGTATATATACTCATGGCATCATAAATACTCAGGCAATCATGACAATGGTCCCTGAGGCGTGGCAGAACGATGACCTCATGAATTCTGAAAAACGTGACTTCTATCGCTGGTCTGCTTGTGCAATGGAGCCCTGGGACGGCCCAGCACTGATGACCTTCACCGATGGACGCTACATCGGAGCAATTCTGGACAGGTGTGTGTTATTCCTAATGGCCATTGGATAGTTCCCTTCAGCTGACGTGCATGGGATGTGAAGCTGTGAGGAGTAAACATATCTGTATTTAGCTTGGAGAGGTTGGTGTGAGACGAGTTATTTTTCATGGTACTATAATAGTTATGTGAGCTATATGCAAGGGCTGAGGTAATTGTTGTATAATTTTGTTGCACATGATTTTATAGTACAGGTTGACAATCCCTTATCCAAAATCCTTGGGACCAGATGCATTTCGGTTTTTGGAATTTTTCGGTTTTCAGAATGGTTAGGTGTTTTTTTACAGGGATCAGCCCACCCGGGTACAGGTCACTGACCCACATTGAGGCCTGGGGGCTAAAATATAATAATAATAATAATAATAATAATAAAAATTCATAGGTCTAGGTCGTGTTTCTCACTTTTGATCTTTTTTCATTCTTGTATTTCTTTATTATTATTATTATTTTATTATTACAGTATTATTGTTATTCTTATTTTATTTTTGGTTATTTTTTTATTAAAAATTTTATTTACTATGAATAATTATTATTATTACTGTATTATCATTATTATTATTTTTATAATTATTATTACTATTACATTTTCACCCCCCAGGCCCCGATGTGAGTCAGTGACCTGTGCCCGGGTGGGCTGTTCCCCAAAAAAAAATTGCTCCACAAAAAACTTTCAGTTTTCAGAGCTTTTCGGTTTTTGGAATTTCAGATAAAGGGTTGTCAACCTGCACAATGTTATGATACAGTTTTTGAGATGATTGCATGACCTGAATCATGTAAGAGTACTATGGTGGTAGAAGTATTTATATATAGAATACAGTACTAACATAAATGCAGGTGTAAAAACTATTGTACAAAATGATCTATGTATAACTAGAGGTCTTAATTAAATATATTGTTAATTCTGTGGCTTAAAAGCTTGAAAGATTTTAAATTTAAAGTATCACAATATTCTTAAGCTTGTCAAAGTTATGGTTTTCATTGTTTATCCGACTGTTTTCTCCCAAGTGTTGATGTGGTTGTGGAGGAGTTAACTTGTGTTGGATCTTTCCAAAGTTTGGGTTTAGACCAGAATCCCACATGAAAACAAGGACACCTGGATATAGAGGACACAGCATCGTGGTTCATCTCTGTTGTGGTTCATTTTGTCAGAGGACCAATCATCTTTTCTTTGGTGTTGGTTGTCTATTGATATTTTTTCACCATAATATAGGACTGGTAGCAGATAAAACTGTACACACACTTCTACTCTGAAGTTGTGGTGAGGAAAACTGTTCTCCTAACTATCTTTTCCTACATGTTCTTATGTCAACTACTTGTACTTGAGTGTTTTGTTCCTTTATTGGATGGGTCTACATTCAGAGCTGCTGTAATGAAACTGGTACAGTAGTCTTTATTACATAATCTACTTATTCAACTAGAAGAATTTCTTTTCTTGTTAGTTTTACATTTTTGTATGACTTATGTTCAGGTGAGGCAGGTAGTTTTCCCTGAATTTGTTAAGTCCTCTCAGACCCATCCTCGCCTTCTGTTTGTGCAGGAAAGATTGGTTAAAATGGAAGGATGTGTAATGGCAGGGGGCTGTAGCATACCTAGAGAGGAATTATTCTTCCTAAGTTTATGTGGAAGCCGAGAAGATGTCTTCAGCATTTTACCTCATAAGAATCCTCAGCCATTTTAAGGAGGGTATATCATGAGTAGTGGTGTTAGGGGAGGAAGTCCTTCACCTGTGGCCTGAGCACCACAACAACAGGCATAAGGAGGGTCCTGGTCACCCAGAGCAGTTTTACCTATTAATACAGAGGAGGAAACTGGTTTATTGGGAGCCATCAGGAACTAAGTATGATTCAGTTCTTTATCTGTGGGAAGACATCTATGGATGTTAGTTACTTCTTGCTTCATCTTGGAGGTTCATTTTGTAGAAACATCTTTAGTGTTTATCAATGGTGTAAGAGGCACTACCACAGGATTATATGACTAGTCTGCCAGCAGCTTATAACTAGGGTTCACTACTGAATATTTTACTTGTTATATACTTCACCTGACTAGTAAACTGTTCCATTGTTCCTGTGATGAAAAGAACTTGGCCAGTCTGTTCATATACTAAGAAGACTTAACATTGATCTCACCAAATAGTTTCATTGCCTTATTTATGACATAAAAATATTGATACAGAGTTTGAATGCCAGTCTTGTTGTAAAAGATTACAAACATACCTATATGTGAATTTTCTTTGTAATTCAGTAATATTTAAAAGAATATAATTTCTATATAGATCATTTTCAGTAAACAGTATAGCCATATGTACAAAATATGTCTTATAGTAGTACTGTATACTGTACCTGAAGTAGCATCCTCCTTGGAAATATTTTTGGGTAATAACATTTGCAGTAGTTTTGTAGTGTACGGTATGTGGCCAGTTGTCAATTCTCTTTAGTTGTCTCTTGTCTCTTTGTATGGGCACACAAACGTATGTACATGTAGATATCTCACACTCAGGAATGAGGTAGAATAGAAACTCACAATGTGTTTTCTGTATATATATATATATATATTGTTGTACAGTGCAGTGCTAAGGAGTTACTAGGTGAGGAGTAGCTTGCTCAGAGGTCCTGTAGGGCGAGGAGCTTTCTGAGGGAGCTGGGTGGTGAGGCGCTGTAGAGAGATCTTGCTGGTCCAGTACGTCAGAGTAGAATGGTCTCCCTGGCCAGCCACGCCCGGATTTATACAATTTAGAAACCTCAGGATTTGGGGTGCGCGTAGCGTGAGAGCCAATCACAGAGGAGGAGGCCAGGAATCCCTGGCACTCTGGTCCTAGCGTTGCTACGTGTGCATCCGCACTGGAGAGTAGGTCTCCCTGCATCGCTGGCTGTACGCTGTTTGGCTGGTAAGAGCGCGGGAGCTCAGTCATCACTTGTAGGGGATGGGGTCCACTACAGTTTCATACATGCATTCAAATATATACTGTATGAAAATATATTACTGGATATATGTTCTCTGATTTGAATGGTCTGCATTATAATTTTTCATGCCATTACGTATTCTAGAACAGAGCTTGATTAATTTTTATTTATTTTTTACATTACAATTGAATTTTAAAGTCAATGGTTTGAAATCATTTATGTTGTAAATAATTATTCAAACATAGAATTTCATGAAGATCTTGAAGAATTTAATAAAGTTGCTGTTCATAAGAATAATGGCATCTTTACCAATTACTGTATACCTGTTGCTTTAAATGTTTCCTTTTCATTAGTAACATTATTTCCAATCTTTGTCTCATTTCCTTCTTGCATTTTTTTGGTATTTAGATTATCATTTCATTTTTCTTGTGTGGTAAAGACTGGGTGGATCATGTTCATAGCTGTTCATGAGAGGTTTATATTATGATGTATTGCTATTATTGTTGAATGTAAGATAAGGAAAATAAGAGACCTAGACTGTTATTTGAGTGCTGGTAGGTGGCTTCTTTGTACAATGTGTCGGTATCAGTGAGCTAAATTCTTTCACCTACTGTAGTGAGTTATGTTTGGTGAGGAGTGTAGGTGAAAGTGAGTTATTCAGAATACAGTACAGTGTATTCCTTAAACTAAAGGATAATTTTTTTATTTGAGAACACTAAATGATTACTGGGAAGAGAGATGTGATTGAAGTGACATGATCAGACTTTAATCCTACAGAATTTTAGGTTCCTGTTTATTGCAGATCTTAAAATATAGTAAGATAATCTCTAAGGTTCTCCAATGAAACAATAACTCTGTGTTTCCATATTATACAGTACTTGCTCTCTTGACGGTACTCACCATGCCCAAAGATGATTGTCCTACACATCCACAGCCCAAGCAAAGTCCAAATAACAAACAAAAATATATGAAAAGACAGGAAACTTGAGGCATAATTGACAAAACACTTGCTTGACGCTGCCGAGTCTATTGAAGTTGTGGCTCACTTGACTTGCTGAGTTAGCTCACTGTGACATGCTTCATAATGTCTTGCCTCTCTCCTTCACCCGTCCCTTACTAAAGAAAGTTCCACAGACTGTTAGTGACCTTCTCCGTAATGACGGTGTGTGTGTATTTCTCTCTCCCTCTTTCTCTTTTTTTTTCTATTTTCTGTCTGTCTCTCTTCTCTTCACCTAAAATTTCATGCCATGTTCTTTCTCAGTGAGCATTGTTACACAGTTAAAGGAGAAGCCACCCTTGCATTTTGTCTTCCTGTGGATAGTGAGCAACTTGACCTAAGTCCCTGACCCATCCATTACTGTGAGCATTTATTGTGTGTGCATCTGTGATAGTGCAGTGTTTGTTGTCTGGAGATAAATAAATGTTTTATTATACACAGTTGATAGAATGTAAGAGCTGTAATATAATAATGGGATGAAAATAAGCTATAATGGATGTGTTTAATGTCTTGCATGCTGACTGGGATGGAGTGGATGGTTGGGCGAAGTGATTGATCGTCATTTTCTATAGTTTACTCACTTAGGCTAAGCTTCAAGGTACTATTGTACATATGTATAAGGACAAACACACTGTAATGCTGAGAAATGTAGCATCCAAGTGTGGAATGAATTGGTGTAGTTACAGGGAACTATCATTCCCTTTGATCCACCCAGCCTGTTCTGTGCTCTACTGTACTATGTTTACAACATAATTTCTTTTTTCTATCACTTTAATGTTAAACCTGCTGTGCTAGAATGTATTATGGTGCTAATTATTGTAATATCTGAAATTCTGAAGGGTACTAAAATTTGATGGATAAAGTGTTCATTTGACATATCTATTATGCTTGCAATAACCCCTCCTTAAATTTCACATTTTTGTACTGCATTACAATCTGTATCTTAAGAAAGGTGATGCAGCATGCTGGAAAATATAGTGAATGACTAGAGTGATGGAATCTGAAGATGTGACCCTTCACAGTTCTCAGGATGTCTACTCCACAAGAGTGTCAGATACAGAAAGAATCATAGGTGTCTTAAAGCACAAAATGCCTCGCTCTTTGGATGGTTCTCATTCTGAACTCGTATACAAGATGATGGTGAAAGCCGAACACTAACAGCTTCATTTCGGACTCTCCCTTCAACAGGAATGGTCTGCGCCCTTCTCGCTATTACGTCACCAAAGATCGAGTGCTGGTGATGGCTTCAGAAGTGGGCGTATATGACACAGAGCCTGAGAATATTCTGCAGAAGGTAACCAGAGCCACCATCTGCCAGCCAGCTGTTGGGTAGTGAGCTGACTGTCTAGCTGGGCAGAAATACGAGGGTGATCGCACCTGCCCAAAAAATCTTCATTAATCATATCATCAAAATTCAGAACATCATTTCAGGACATTATTATTGAAAGCATGGCCATATTTCTGTCATAATTACAGCTTCTCATTTCCATAATCATTTCCCTAATATCAGAAACGGGGTTAGTAGAGGTCGTGTGTCAAGGCCGAGGTGCTGTGTCTGTAATGGTTCAGGTTTTTGGAAGAATCATACAATATCTTATTCTGCCTTATGTTGGTTCACTATCATATGTAAAGTCAAGCTGAGTTGGCTCTATGTTTCAGTTGATATGATTCTTCACAAAGTCTCCCATTGCCAACTAGTCAGGTAAGTTTTATCAGGTAAGAAGACCAAGAGGACCTTCACACATTTTAACATCACACCGTGATTCTCTTTTCAAAAAGAATCAATAGTTGCCAGATTGTCAGTCTGTGTGTGTTCAACTTTTTGATATAATCATGTCCACCATTTTTGTCATTTAACCTTTTAAGAAATTTCTACCCACATTGAGACTTGCAGTTTCAGGTACAGGTGAAGTTGGAGAAGAGATGACCTCAACTGCAGAAATATATTTCACGTTTGCTTTGTTTTTGTTTGCCATATGTCTGGCTAAGCCAGGCACAGAAGACACTGTTAATGTAGACAGATTGATTTTTGGCTTTTAGTTCATGGATTTTGTCTTGGCATATAACTGCAAAATAATACTGTAGCATAAACACACTTATTGGGAGCAAACATGAAGAAGACCATGTTTGCTCTACCAACTGTGTGGGACTGTACTACTAGTGTGATGCAACAGTGTGCCTGTCTCAGCCTTGGCTTCTCTTCTAAATACATTTTCCTGCTTCATATTTGCTTCATTGGTTCACAGGGTCGACTCAAACCTGGCCGCATGCTGCTGGTAGACACACTGGAGAAGTTGGTGACCAAGGATGAGGAACTCAAGTTACAGATAGCAAGGTCTAGGCCTCACTCACAGTGGATTCAAGAACAGGTGAGCAAGTGTAAATGTTTACTCTAGTTAATACAATAGTAATGTATCTAATATTGACTTATAACTATGTAAATAATAGATAATGAGAGTATTATGGCTGTTGTTCTCTAGTCTGTGAATACATCTTGGGAATGACAAGTTTTTAACCGGGAATTTCATTACAGTATTGATGATTTTTTCTTTTCTTTCTTGCTTTACTTGGATTAGATGGTGAGAAGTTACAGCACACAAACATGTACTGTAATGTTGTGTTTATTGTTGTACTTGACAAAACAAAATGGGTAACTTATGTTAAACCTTAAAATACTGTCCTCATAAGTGGATGTTAGCTGTTGGGACGGTGGCCAATATCAATGCATGTTACACACACACACACACACATGCATGCAATTTATTAATACGACTTATTGTTAAGTTTGTTGTTTGAATGGAAGCACAAATAAAAGAGATACTGTATAGATGTATTGGTGTACAGTACAGTACTCTAAACTTGTGTTGTCATTGCAGTTTACCATGGAGGACTTGTATGCTGCCCATGAAGGTGACCTGACATCTGAACCATCTCTGACAAATGGCCATGTAAACGGGGCCATCAATGGAGAGGAGAATGGTGGCATCATGCGTACCTTTGGTGGTGATCGCCGCCTTTGCATGTTTGGCTATACTCTTGAAACTCTCAATATGTTGCTGCTTCCAATGGTTACAACACAGTAAGTGGAGATATTTTTGGGGTGAAATTGAGATAAGTCTGTGGACACTATAGCTTGGGAATACTGTACTTGTGAAGCTTATATGTTAAACTTTATTGTGCAATGTTGGTGGTGCTGGGATAACACGCACATCTCACAGAAGAGGAGTATGTTGAATTTCTTCTTGTTATTTTGAAGATGTGAACACAAACTCCTTTCAGCTTCAGCATGATTTTAATGAACATCGTTTTTTTTACTGTTGTTTCAGTAATGTCTGTCTGATCTTTCAGGAAAGAAGCTCTTGGCTCAATGGGAAATGATGCACCATTGGCCTGCCTCTCACAGTTCCAGCCACTTATATATGACTACTTCAAGCAGCTGTTTGCTCAAGTCACAAACCCTCCCATTGATCCATTCCGTGAAAAAATTGTGATGTCGCTTGCCTGCCCTATTGGTAAGATATAATCGGCATTTCTGATTTTACCCTATTTACCTAATGCCCACCCCAACTAGAGGTGGCCATGCCAAGGTAACAAAGCCAGTGGCTTGTCTAAGAAGACCCCTCCATTGTTCTTGATAATCTCCCCAATTCTACTGCTTGAGCTGCTAGACTGTTATGTATTATATTTTGAAGGAGTTTTAATGAACATCTTATAATTTTTAGGACCTGAAGCAAATATCCTGGAGCCCAGTGCCAAACAGTGCCATCGTATCTTCCTGGAGAACCCTATGTTATCCCTTCAGGATCTTGAGGTGAGATTTTAGTGATAATGATATTTATATTTTTTTAAGTGACTATATTGATTTATTCTTTTAAAGTGAGGTTAAGAAATATGGTTGAATGGACATAAAGTATTATAAAAAAGTTAATTCAGGTGTCCATGTTTTTGAAGGCATCATCCTCACTGTAGCTACACTTAGTTTGGTGCATTTTATGGTACAGGTATTGATTTATTTCAGTACAAGTGACCATGTGGATTGAGTGCTTAAATCTTACCATGAAGGTGACTCAGGGTACCCCTAGTTCACCCAGCTGGGGAAGTGAAGGCAGTGGAGTGCAGTACTGGTCACAATGCCTCCTTTTATACTGAAGGCTCTTCATACAATGTGTTGTATCCACACTACCTGTACGAGTCATCGGGCTCATGGGACACACTTCCTACTTCTCACCATAAACCAGAAACTAGACCCTTGTGTTATGTAAAGAACCTTCTTCATATAATACTCTCAGAAGCACAAGTAAAAGATTGTTGAAAGTAATGTTTAAAAAATCTGTACTGAAGTTGTAAATACAGTTGGATTCCCTTCAGGTAGTTTTTCTTCCTCAGGTGATCAAGGCAACAAAATACCGTGGGTGGAGCACATACGTTGTTGACATAACGTACCCGGTTAGTGAAGGAACCAGCGGCCTTGTTCCTGCTCTAGATCGTATTGCTGCTGAGTCGTGCAAGGCAGCTGAGGATGGCTACCAGATCTTGGTGCTGTCTGACAGAAAAGGTGGAAGTGACAGGTAATGAGACATATACCATTAAGTTGAATTCCTGTTAAAAATATTTGGTTATTTATGTCTTTCATAATTCTCACTGAATCTTAGAGAATAGGAGTCAGAGAATAGTTTTGGATTTCTTTAACAGTAATACTGATACAAGCTTTTATGCTCTTCTCGTAAGATACTATAAGGAGATAATTCAAAGAGAGACATGACTTGCTTAAGAATATCATGTAGGATGAATAGCACACAGAAAATTAGAAAAAGAAATGAGGAGGAGCATGTTAAGTGAAAGATGTGTTGGGCAAATACAGGATCACCAGATAGATACACTGATAGGATAGGAAGAGAGAGATTAACAAAAAAAAGTATAAATTCATAGAAGATTGAGGGGGGGGGGAGACCAAGAGAGATTGAATGTTGTTGTGGTAGAGAAGGGGGCGGACATCAAGAAACAGTGGTGTGTTGGAATGAGGGAAAACATGACACTGAATGATCTTTGGGGGGAAGGAAACACTGTTAGATGGGTTTGATTATATATTGGCAAGTGTACCTCAATTTATTAAAAACTTTAAAATTTATTAGTTTTTTTTATGAATTACTGGTATGCCAATTTAGGTAAAATTTTTGGAAAGTGAGCACAAAATTATTAGAAACATTATAAAATTTTAGTTCGGTGTTTAATGATGTACTATGTCAATTCAGGTTACCAGTGAATGCTCTGATGGCACTTGGGGTCACACACCACTACCTGATTGAAGAACGTCAGCGCATGAAGGTTGGCATCATCCTTGAGACTGGTGAAGCAAGGTACGTCACATAGCTATTCTGTACTCGTAAATTTTCTGGGGTCTTGGTAGCAAAAAATACGTTCGGTTTATGCTATAGTTTTCCCAATAAGATGCTACTGTAATGATATAATAGACATCTGTATTGTAGTAAAATGTAAGATAATATGTGACTGTATTGAGTGTTACATATTCTTTACTATTAGTCATACGTGCTCTATGTAGCCTACCTAAAATTATTCATCTTTTTTTTGTTAATGTTTGTTTTTTCAGAGAAGTACATCAAATGTGTGTTCTGTTAGGCTATGGGGCTGATGCCATCTGCCCATATTTGGTGTTTGAGACGATGAACTCCCTTCGATCTGAGGGAGTCATTACTCTTGCCAATAAGGAAATTTTCAAGGTCAGTTTGTCCTGCACGGTATACAATACATCATCTTCTTAACTTCTTCATATGACTCTTGTTCCATATTGTTTTTGGGTTAACTATGTGGGTCTCCTGAAGTTAGTGTTTAATGTGTCCTCTCCCATCACTATCCTCTTTTTTATATCTCTGTTTATCACATTTCATCTTGGTCTCTGTCTTTGTGTGGTTTCATGTCATTTCTATCATTCTTTCTGCTGGGTTTTTCTCATCTCTTTTCTATGTGCCCATCTGTGGTAATTAGGTCAAGAAAGGTAATGATTGCCTATTTTCAATGAGTGTACAGTATAATATTAATAAAAAATAGTGTCATTATTATTACTATTGTTATGGACTGTGTATATATATCATTAAACAGCTGGTAGTAGAAAAATTACTCAAACATGATGAATTGTGAGGTAGGTGATTGTAAAGCATAATAATTTGAGAGCTGGACTTACCGGTGATTTCTTCCTCAGAACTACATCTCTGCCATGGAACGAGGCATCTCTAAGGTGATGGCCAAGATGGGGATCTCCACACTTCAGTCCTATAAGGGAGCACAGATCTTTGAGGCTGTTGGTATTTCAGAGGAAATTATTAACAAATGCTTCAAGGTAAGACATCACTATAATCCCTTACAAACATTATTATAGTGAAAATTTATTATAAAAAAATATATAGAAAAATGAAAAAGTCATCTTGGTTGTTTAAATGTGGCTGAAAGTATTCTTGTAGCATAATTTTTACCTTTGAGGGAAATATAAGTGTCTCTATAAATCTGCCACACATAATGCCATTATTAGCCTTTGAAAGATAGTTAAATATGTGGGGGTTTTTCCACAGGGAACTGCTTCACGAATTGGTGGAGTTACATTTGAAACCTTGGCTAATGAAGCATTTGAGCGTCATGCTCTAAGTTATGGAGACCGAGAATGTGACACAATGGTGTTAAGGAACCCAGGCTTCTATCACTGGCGTAGTGGTGGAGAGAAACACATGAATGACCCAGTGTCTATTGCCAACTTGCAGGTAATTTATATGTTTTTTTTTTCAATCTAGTGTTGCTTATAATGTGACTTACTCACCATGAGGAATGATGTGTCAGTGTTTTGAGGAAAGTAATTTATGAGGTTTTCTTCATATTCAGCTCATCCTCATATATAGCTACTTGTAGTTTTGCTCTCTCCTCATTTCTTGGCCTCCTGTTCACTTGCACAGCAGACTTGGTATTGTCTATCAACCTTTAATTTGTTTAACCCTCTATGTATGGGGTCGCCCCAGCTGAATAAAATATTCTTGCACTAGCCAAATAAAAAGTTAATAGTGGCTTCCCCATAGTGTAGGGGTTAATATATAACTACAGTACTCATATAAGACTACACCCAATAGATTAATTTGTACATATTTGACATAAAGAGCATAAGATATAGCCATACAGTATATAATTCCAGTCTGTATTTCACTAACATATTTACAGTGTGCCATATATTTTATATTTGTCATTTTTTCAGGATGCTTCAAGGACCCAAAACAAATCTCAGTATGACAAGTTCAAAGAATCAACAATGGAGAGCGTCAAAGCTTGTACATTACGCGGCCAGCTGGAACTTGTGAAACTGGAAAATCCCATCGACATCTCGGAGGTACTGTTGGATTTTTCGGTACACTTGTGTTGTCATAAACCTTAAGAGTAGAATGAGTTACACTGTATGTAGGTCCCTTGCCACTTGTCTTGGTATTACAGTATGTGGATTCCAGGATCATGTTGGTGTAACTTTTCATTATGGTTACCTACTTATGTCTACATTCTTGTTCAACTGTGAGAGGATTTGACCAATTTTCTCCTTCATTATCAGGTTGAGTCAGCATCAGAGATTGTGAAGAGGTTTGCCACTGGTGCTATGAGCTTTGGTTCTATCTCCATTGAAGCTCACACTACTCTGGCTATTGCCATGAACCGTGTGGGTGCCAAGTCCAACACTGGTGAAGGAGGTATGGAATATAATTTGTCAGCTTTCTTAATAAGTTTGAAGTCATGTTGAAATAAAATAGAAAACACATTTTAATATTATCAACTAAATAGTAAAATTTAATAGTCCACTTATTTCTGTATTTCATAAACTTAGTATCAATGGCCCAACCCTCAGAGGGGAGTGAGGTGTAGGTGATTAGACAAGAGGACATAACCTCTGTTAAAAATTATCCCTTCTATTAGTGCATTTAATATTGGCTAGAGTGAGAAATGTAATTTAACTTCAGGTTAAATATTTAAACCTGTGATTGTTAAAAATATTTGTTAAAAAAAAAGAAGGATGTAAGAATATACTGTGCATACAGTATCTTCAAATCTGGTAATCTGTGGACTTGTACAATTTCAGGAGAAAATGCTGATAGATACATAGATCAGGATCCAGAGTTTAACAAACGTTCAGCTATTAAGCAAGTTGCATCCGGACGCTTTGGTGTTACTGCAGCATACCTGGCTAATGCTGATGACCTGCAGATCAAGATGGCTCAGGGGGCCAAACCTGGAGAGGGCGGTGAACTGCCAGGCTACAAGGTTACCTTTTATTTTTTAACATTTGCCATTTCTTGAAATTTTATTATCTTCATAATACAGTCCAGTATTTACATCAAATTACTTGAATGCTAAGATAAAGTAGCATGGGGGTTAATCTTGCTTCCATCTGGCTAATTAATGATCAGACACTTCACTAGTCCTCATAGCTTTTCCTCAATCAAACAAGTCAAAATAATCATTATTCAGTAATGATAGTGATTAATGTAGCAACTGTACTGAAAGTTTGTATATATTGTAGGTGTCAGAAGACATTGCCAATACTCGTCACTCGGTGGCTGGAGTGGGTCTGATATCTCCACCTCCTCACCATGACATCTACAGCATTGAAGACTTGGCTGAACTTATCTACGATCTGAAATGTGCCAACCCAAATGCACGAATCTCAGTCAAGCTTGTGTCGGAAGTTGGTGTTGGTGTGGTGGCGTCTGGTGTAGCAAAGGTAGGAATTTTACACTTCCTTAATGTTATTACCTTTTATGGAAATACTAGGGAATTTATTGATGATATGTGCATTTCCTCAAGAGCATTCATTGATTACGTTGAAATTTTGTAATGGCTTGAGCATACTGTATTTTATTTCCCCATGCCTTACAATATTGAATCCTTGTTGTAGGGGAAAGCAGAGCACATAACCATCTCAGGTCATGATGGAGGTACAGGAGCCAGCAGCTGGACAGGCATCAAGAGTGCTGGTCTACCATGGGAACTTGGCATATCCGAGACTCACCAGACTCTTGTACTTAACAATCTGAGATCTCGTATTGTTCTGCAGGCTGATGGACAGATACGCTGTGGTTAGTTTAATGCTTCTCGACTAAATGTATTTATTTATCTCCTTATAATGCGCCTCCTATTTTTCATATAAAACTTTAGTTGGTGTTGGCAGTTTTCTATCACATATGAAATAACTGGATATATTGAAGCCAGAGGGAAGTCCAAGTGGGAGTAAGGAACCAGAAAAGAGAGATGGAGTGAAAGTGGGAGTAGGAGCCCTAAATGGGAATAAGAGTGAATGCTGGAGTGTATTTAAAGTGATCTAAATTTATTAAATGTTATTAAAAGATATGATTTGTTCCCAAACGGTAAAATACAAAGTACATTATTGTATTGTGATGACTAAGAAGCTCGTGTCTTTCAGGTATGGACGTCATAATTGCTGGTTTGTTGGGTGCTGACGAGATTGGCTTCAGCACAGCTCCACTGATCGTGATGGGCTGTACCATGATGCGCAAGTGTCACCTCAACACTTGCCCTGTTGGGATCGCAACTCAGGATCCTGTCCTCAGGAAGAAGTTTGAGGGCAAGCCAGAACATGTGGTCAATTACTTGTTCATGTTAGCTGAAGAGGTAAGATATTTCAATAGCTTGTATTGTATTACTTTATTGTGAAATGATAAGTTAGGGCCTGCAGGATATGACCTTTTTAAGGTACTGAATACAGTATGCTTATTCATGTTAGATGAAGTTAAAACTTTTCATAACATGCTATACTTTATTGTGATTTGGGTAAGTATGTACCTGTACATGCTGTATTCCTTATAGTTAAAGGTGTTTAATATGAAGGTAGTGACCATCTTCGGTAATAATAATTTCTAATATAGGTACATTTAAACTGATCGTGTGTCAGCAGGTACTTGAGTAATGTGTGTGTTTGATTCACCCGCATACACAAGAAGGAAGATAATGACAGTAAAACAGAGGAATAATTTATCAGATATTAAGAATTTATATGATTAATTAGATTATTCAACATGGCAAAACTTTACATGAATCAACTTTGGCTTCAGAGATGGTTTTTGTAATGTATTTTCTGTTGCCATTGTTTTAATAGGTCCGTGAACTCATGGCTTCAGTGGGTGTTCGTAAGTTCCAAGAACTGGTGGGTCGCACAGACTTATTACGTGCCCGTGATTCCTGCTCGACAAAAGTCAATCTTCTAGACTTTAATCTAATACTGAAGAATGCACTGCACATGAGACCAGGAGTCAACATAGTTGGAGGATCTGTGAAACAGGTACTGTACTGTATAATTAACTGGAACAATGTTTTAAGTGATCAAATTATGTACAGTACTCTCCTTTTATCAGAAATTAACAAACTCATTGATATTTTCTTCATTTATTACAGGACTTTGGGCTTGAGACTCATCTTGACCAAGAGATTCTGAAGGAGGTAGAGCCATTACTGAATGGCACCACCGATACTGTAACTGTTAATACAACAATCCACAATGAAGTTCGTGCCTTTGGAACAACTCTCTCGTACCACATTGCCTTGTGAGTGTTTTCTTTTGTATAATTTTTAAAATGAATTTAGTGTTTAATAAAGATGTACTGTAAGTGTTCTTATCAAGCCCTGTCCACCTTACCACTGATGTATGGCTTTGCTTACAGAAAATATGGAGAGGAAGGACTTCCAGATAACAGCATTCAGATCAACCTTGCAGGATCTGCTGGTCAGAGCTTCTGTGCTTTCCTTGCAAAGGGAGTTACAGTTACTCTAGAAGGAGATGCTAATGACTATGTTGCAAAGGTGGGTATTTGAATAGAAATAGTACAGCCTCTCCTCAACTTACGACAACTTGGACATACGACGGCCATGGTCGTATAAAATATTTTTCACGTTACGTATTTTCGAGTCCCGACGTTAGTGATCGCACTGTTTACTGACAAAATTTTCGTTTGTAATTTCCTTTTAAATGGCTGGCAAGCGTAAAGTGAGAGTTCTCATGGTGTTGAGAAGTAAAAGACACCTATTTTAGAATTTCTATGTATTATTTTCGCCTTTTCGACTTGCCACCAATTCTACTTCTGACTTGGTCGTCAGGACGGAACCCCGTTGTAAGTCGAGGAGAGACTGTACAGTACTCTACTCGTAAATCACCTTATAATTAGAATTTTAATTTACATTGAAAATAAAATAAAAATAATAGCAGTTTCGGTATCGTAAAAAGAGAAATCCGGATGTAATGTTAGTTTTAGTGTGTGTGTGTGTGTGTGGGGAAGACTAGTGGTGGATATAGATACATACTGGGAGTCATACACTTTATATTGTTAGCAGTGGAGTTTCAGAAGTTGATAGTAGAGTAATGCAAGGAAGAAAAAAGGCGATTCATGAACTTTGGTGAATTGTCAGGGATTTGTGATTTACGGAGATGGATTGAATCTCTAGATGATTTATTTTTATTTTAATATATCAAGGCTCAAGAATGTGTCAATGGGTATCCCAAAGGAGTGACTTGAGAACACGAATTTGTGAATGAAAATTAGACAAAAAAATTACGTTGACAGAATATCTTGGTGAATGCTATTACCAAGCAAAGTGAATTATAAAGGATTCCAGCTGTGTGAAATTACAGGCCTTCCATGTATAGTGCATCATATACATTCCTGAACAATATCCTCACCTTCCTTATACCTGTATAATAAATTACCTCAGCATCTTCCTCAACCCACCAAATGCCCTTACAATGTACAGTATTGGAAGTCTGTTATTATATTAAAAAAAATCTTCTCAGGGACTGTCTGGAGGCGAGGTAGTCATTTACCCACAGAAGGATTTGCCTGAAGACTATAAAACAGAGGCAAATATCATCGTGGGTAATGTGTGCCTGTATGGGGCCACCAGTGGCTCGGCATTCTTCAGAGGAATGGCTGCAGAGAGATTCTGTGTTCGTAATTCAGGCGCTGTTGCAGTTGTGGAGGTTAGTGTGAATAATTTGAAAGTGAAATATTTCAACTTGATACTACACAATATTGAAACCATAATATTAATGTAAATGATAGTTCAAAAAATGTTTCATTAAATAACTTCAATTGAATTCATGTCTTTATATTATTGAAATCATATTAACTGTATCTACTGTGAATGATGAATTATCTATGTTATACAGTATAGTACCTCATAGTTGTTTTGTAAGGCTGTTTAGTTGATGTGTGGGATAATCATTCATCTCCTTTGTGGTGTAGCTCTTCAGGGTTAACAGATGGTAAAACTCTCTCCCCCTCCCTTTCCTCTTAACCCCCCCCCCTTTTCCCTTCTCTAATTTGAGCCTTGGAATTTTCTAGGGGGTTGGAGACCATGGCTGTGAATACATGACTGGAGGATGTGTGCTGATTCTTGGCCAGACTGGGCGTAACTTTGCTGCTGGAATGTCTGGTGGTATTGCTTATGTCCTGGACCCCAGCAGTGAATTTCCGAGGTGTGTACAATTTTCATCACTTTTTTTAGTCACTGTTAACTGTGTTTCTACAAGTTACTCCAGATTTATCAACTGACATTTGTAACCTTTCTCCTAAATCACCACCATAGCTGTATCTACAAACATCAGCTGACTCACCTCCCATACATATGCTTATGTATCTTACATGGCAGTTTGTCTTTAGCATGTGAATATAAATGACCTGCTGTCTGTTATCTTTAAAGAACTGTGATATTTTTTTGTCTGTCTTCCCTATTGATTATAAACTTTAATTATCCTTTTAGGAAATGCAATCAGCAGACTGTGGAACTTCTTCCTCTTGAACTGTCAGATGACCTGGTGTTTGTTGAGGATCTTCTGCGACAGTTCCATGATAAGACAGGCTCACAGGTTGCTGCAAACTTGCTCATGGACTGGCCTGCTCAAGCCAGCAGCTTTTTAAAGGTGAGAATTATAACTGTTCTGTCTGAACCACCTGTAGGTTGTAACTAAGAACAAACCAGCTGCCTGAATGGCTAGTAAGGTGATAAATTAACTGAAAAAAAGAAATATAGGGTTCTGTAATAGCTTCAGATTAGTATGTTTAGGTCTTGAAACAGAGAAAGAGAATAGTTTATATATGCTGGAGGACTTGGAGGAGCATGTCTCAGCCCCGGATGTGTAAAAAAAGTGGAGGTAATGTTACTAATATTTTTTTAATGCTAATGTTAAACTCGCGCATTACTTAAAACACCATTTGTCTCACAGGTGTTCCCATATGAGTACCAGCGAGCCTTGAGGCAACTTGCTGAGAAAGAAGCAGCAGTACAAGTAACCCCAGAGAAGGCTAAAGTTGAAGTGAAGCCCGAGCCAACAGTTTGTGATATTGAAGAATCTGTCACTGACACTGCCATGGAAAAGAAACGATTGGAGAAGATCCTTGATAAAACTAGGTAAGAAAGCATTGTAATGCATTTGTTGTATTATTTCATAAGTAAATTTTTTTTTTATTTCTGCCCAAGTAATGGAGAATAGTTGTCAATGAAACTTTATCTGTGAACTGGAATGGCTGGACTTGATTTGATGTGCTTGTCTTCTCCTTTCTTGCAAATGTTTCAAGTGAACTAGAAGTTGATGCAGTTCTAAGGGGTCTCTAAACTATTGGATTTATTATATTTCCAGGGGCTTTGTAAAGTACAAGCGTGAAACAGCCATGTATCGCTCGGCCGAGAAGCGGCAGAAGGATTGGGACGAGATCTACAACGTTGACAGTGTCCGCCGTGGCCTACGTGTGCAGGCAGCAAGATGCATGGACTGTGGAGTTCCTTTCTGCCAATCATCACATGGTTGTCCCCTGGGTAACATTATTCCCAAGTGGAATGATCTCATATTTAACAACAACTGGAAGGAAGCACTCGGCCAACTTCTGCAAACCAACAACTTCCCAGGTTAGCCATTAAGGGTTGTTATTAAGATATTTAAAAAAAAATTGATATGTGCACCTTGGGTTTTATGTTATTAGGTTTTTTTTTTTTTTTAATATTATTATTATATTATTATTGGGCACCCCCCCTACATCCTTGTGTAAGGTGAAGCGCAGAAGCGTTTACAGCGCCCAACAAGGAAGCATGCTTAGTTCATGCCTGAAGAGTCGATGGTTTTATGTCACAAGTTATTGGAAGCTCCAACAACTTGTCCCTGAATACGAATTTGCAACTTTCGACTTACAACAGGTACCTACTTTACTGCTAGGTGAACAGGGACTAATGGGGGCTAGGAAGTATGTCCAAACAACTTCCACTGGCCCGGGAATTGAACCCGTGACATCGCGCTTGCGAGGCAAGAGCGGTACCGCTCTATCACCAGCTCCCCCATTAGGTTTAATTTGAGGACTATGTAAATGCATGTATTTGGCATATTGAAATGATTTTACGAATACAGGCAGACCTTAATTCATGAAAGGGTCTGCCCGACTCTGTTGGAAAATAATTTTTAACCTTGAATATTAATAAAAAAAAAAACTAATGCAACCCATTGTTATCTCCTGTACAGAATTTACTGGGCGAGTGTGTCCTGCACCTTGTGAGGGAGCCTGTGTTCTGGGCATTAATGAACTTCCAGTAACAATTAAAAATATTGAGTGTTCAATTATTGACCATGCGTTTGAACAAGGCTGGATTAAGCCAGAGCCACCAGTGTTGAGGACAGGCAAGAAAGTAGCTGTAGTAGGATCTGGACCTGCTGGTTTGGCTGCAGCTCACCAGCTTAACAAGGTAAGGTTACTCCCATATATCTTGTTCATACACTTTACATTTATTTTTCTTCTTCCACTTCTAAGTGAAAAGATATTTAAATATGATCATTATTATTATTAGTAGTAGTACAATATTCTGAACATATAAGCATCAAGCCTTAATGTCATGATCTTCATCTTTTTGTTGGACAACAATCTGCATTGAGGTGGATGGGTTATGTTACTCTTTCATGCCGAATATTTCATGCGTTCAACTGTGACTGATGGTTGTGAGGAATTGAGGTTACATGTTATTTAGGGCACAGTAACAGTCCTGGTTCTCTATTTTTTTCCCCATTAAATGATCTTTTATTACAATGAATCTGCTGACACACAGACTTATTAGGTAAGGAAAAAGTTTTAATTTTCAGAAGTAAAGACCTGAATCCTTGCACTCCAAACAAAGGTTAAAGTCAGCTCAATCCTTTTTCCATATTTGTGCTAAAAAGGGACATGTTAAGATGTTTGTTCCTTCCACAAAATTTTAGTGTACGTTTGTCTTATGCTATCACATTTAAAGTCCAGCAACTGAGAACAAATCTTTGTGTTACCCAACTGTATGTAGCAGTACTTATGTAGTTTATAATGATCCTGAATATTGTAGTTGTTCCTGTTCATTTACTTCTTTCATGACTTCTTTTATTCATATTAATAATTAACTTTCTTCTAGTGCCTGTACACTCTTCCATTCTCATTCATTAATATTTTTGTAACTTTTTTTCTAAACTGCTCTCCAGGGCAGTGACCCCTAAATTACTGTTAAATTTATGTACAGTATTCATTTTTTTTTTTTTTTTTATAATTTAATAGGTAATATTTACTGTGTCTCAGGCTGGTCACTTGGTAACTGTGTTTGAGCGGAATGACCGTGCTGGTGGACTGCTGCAGTATGGCATCCCTACCATGAAGCTCAGTAAGGAGGTGGTTCAGCGCCGAGTGAACCTTATGAAGGATGAGGGCATAATGTTCAAGACCAATGTTAATGTTGGCAAGGATATATCAGCTAAGGTAAAGAAATAGTGATGTATATATTAATTTATTATTAAACTTCTATTTTCATTGTAAGTGAACTGGCTTAGAAATTAACTTTCATTAAAAGTAGAGTTTGGGATGCTGAAAATAAACAACTTAATTGCTTTTCCTTTTTTGTTGTAAAGGATCTACAAGAAGAATATGATGCCTTACTGTTGTGCTTGGGAGCAACCTGGCCACGTGACCTTCCAATTGCAAACCGTCAATTGGAAGGTATTCACTTTGCTATGGCATTCCTTGAAACATGGCAGAAGAAGCAGATGGGCAACACTATCGACCACACTACCCTCACTGCCAAGGACAAAGATGTCATTGTTATTGGTGGAGGTGACACAGGATGTGATTGCATTGGTACTTCTCTAAGGCAGGTTAGTATAAATGAGTTAAGTTTGGTGGCAAAATTATGTATCCAGCAGTGGTCTTCATTTATTAACTCTATGAAACTGCCATTGACAGTCATGTACAGTATAAAAGTATAGAACAAGAGTGAATTATAGTACTTACTGTTTTGTACTTCAAAATAACTAGATGCTCATTGACACCGGGTTAGCACTGAGTGTGGTGGTATTTGTGATAGTTCTTTTTCAGCTAGTGTTGTTCTATGACTTAAAATTCAGGGTCAAGTTCTGTAACATTACAGTAATTCTGAAGTCTTAGTACTTACAATTATTCATTTCTATAGTAACAGTCCTTATTTATGGTTACTTAATGATCCTCTTCACCACTTGCCAGCTACCATAATATACAGTAGAGTAAACTTAACATTTAATGCATTATGTTCGTGATGAACAGATGGGTAAAATTATGACATTTGGAGATTACAACTGAAACCATCTCCAATACAACAATAAGTAATGTAATATATCTGTATTTTAGGGAGCCAAGTCCATTACAACGTTTGAGATCCTACCACAGCCTCCTCCTTCCCGTGGACGTGACAACCCATGGCCCACTTTCCCCAGGGTATTTAAAGTTGACTATGGACATGAAGAAGTTAAGGTCAAGTTTGGACGTGACCCCAGGGAATATAGCACTCTTACTAAGGTTTGTTTGAGTTTATTGGTTAATACAAAGAAATATATAGCTCTAGAACAGAAGTAATTATGAATATTGTATCTGCATGTGAAAAGATAATTGAAATGGAAAGGGCAATTTGTTTTATCACTTACATTATCGACCTGCTACTATTACTATACAGTACAGGGTTTGAGATTAAGGGTGTGACCCATCACACTTAATCTCCCTGGCAGCTGGAGCTGATCTAACAATCACCTGTCCCTCCCTGTGTCATGCACCTTGCATGATGGTGGTATGTCAGTTTTACACACAATTAACTCCTCATTGGTCACTCTGACTGCCTGACTCCACATACCTGAGTTATGTTCACACAACTGAAGAGAATTGTAAAGGAAAACGACACAAATTATGGTACTGTAGTCATTATATAATTTAGGTGTTAGTCTAATACTGTACATATGATTTGCATCAGCAGGCTATCCACAAACCTGTTAGGATGGAGTGTGTTAAAGCTGCAAATGACTGGATATTTATAAAGGCACTGGAAGAATACCCCTTGTAATACAGATGGTAGTATTTTAATAGGTAAAATAATAGGACTTGATTTGTGAAATACCTGACCTTGACTCCTAAATTCTGCCTTTCAAGACTTTAAAATTTCTCATGCCATTACAGGAGTTCCTGGATGATGGGACTGGAAAGGTGGCAGGTGTACGCGCAGTGACGGTGGAGTGGACTAAGGATGAGAGTGGTCGCTGGAAGATGAACGAAGTTGAAGGATCAGAAAAGGTAAACCATTTGTCTATCAATTTTTTTTTTTAAATAAGTAATTTTTATTGAGAGTGGTAAGACTTCTATTACTAATATTTACCTTTTGATCATTCAAGAAAACCAGAAATGTAAGTTCATTATGTCTGTTATGTCGCCTAAAGCCAAGAGTGTTTGAGACATTCCAGATAAGATTCTAAAGTATAGGTGAACCTTGCTGTAAATTTGACTTGTGTCCTTAAGAATTGGAACTTTACTTGAAACAATGTGTAGTGAACCAAATTATATAAAGAAGGGTTATGTTTTTTGAGGGAGATTTCTGGAATGACTCTTCTCATTAAAATATTAATTGAATACCTGCAGTTAAAATAAGCATTTAGATATATATATAGTACTGTAAAATATATACAAGATGATTATGGAAGCTGTATAAGGGGCCAGCTGGGGTATGGAATGGTGAAGGAATTGATTTGTTAACTTGATTTTATGGAAGGATTAATATTACATAGCACTGTACAAGAGTCCCTCCCCTGCCTTTTTCTCCAGAGGCAAGTAATATGTAGTGTCTTTTTTCATATTTCTTACAATTTTACTCATTCTTTATAATTTCAGAAATGTTAAACCACATTTTTCGAAATCATTCAATTTTTACAGGTGTACAAGGCTGATTTGGTGCTCCTGGCAATGGGTTTCTTAGGACCTGAGAGATACATCGTTAATGAACTGGAGATGGAACAGGACCCACGTTCCAACATTTGTACACCAGATGGCAAATACGTCACAAGTGTTGACAAAGTTTTTGCAGCTGGAGGTTTGTAATGGAAAAGAGTCTTACTAAATCCTTTGTGTATGTGCTGTATTTAACTTAATATCATAATTACTGTAGTCCTTGCCCCAAAAACTCCCATACCCTCAGTTACATTATTAGACTATACAGGTTAGGGCCTAATATTAGCCACTTGGGCAGTCTGTTGGTCACATGCAAAACATTAGCCAAGGTCTTGACAGATTAGTTTTTTTTTTCCCAATGTAACAAAACTATTTTATTGTTGTAATCATCATAATGTACTAAATTTGATGTTTTTCACCCCCCCCCTCCCAACCCCCAGATTGTCGTCGTGGTCAGTCTCTCGTTGTGTGGGCCATCAACGAAGGTCGTCAGGCAGCACGTGAGGTGGATACTTACCTCATGGACACTTCCACCCTCCCCCTTAGTGGAGGAGTTGTTCAGATTACACAAAAGGGATAAATGATCTGTTTTATTAATGAAATCGTTTATTAAGAGCGAGTGTGAAATTCACTATGACGGTAAGGGGGTCCAACAGATGTACTGAACTTAATAGGATCTCTTCCCGGCACACTGTTGAAGATGGTGCATATAACACTGATCCATTAGTTAGCTGTTGAACAGTTTTGTGGGATCAAGTTCAGTAGCCTGTACATATAGTGTATGGAAATGTCCTGGTTTGATTTTTTTTTTTTTTTTTTGGTAAATGATGGGTGGAGTTGTGATACAAGGGAGACATTGAACATGAAGCATATCACCTCTGGTTAGGTGGTTAAGTAGTGTACAAGTGTTAATAGAACTGTCCAACCCTGAGAAGGGGATCAATGTTCTGCTTTTGTTGTTGTTATTGATGTACATAGCCATTATAATTAATAATACAGAAAATTGATATTCTTTAAGCCATGGAAATTACAACTGTCAGTCTCACAAAGTTTTAGTGAAGTATTTTTCCCAACACTTCTTACATTAATAATAGTTAAAATAATAGTGAAGAATATGAGTGATATGGTAGTTTTCCTAATAGACGTGTCTTACGAAGAGTCACTTGCCAGTCATATTTAATTATAACTTGAACAGTTGGATTTATTCTCATTTATTTTAAGAAAGTGAACTACTGGTCACCACTCGGATCGCATTTACTTCAACATTGTACTTGTAATTTTATTTATAATGTATATTTATTTTTTTACCCTTAGCAATGGAAATACTACATATAAATCTTGCAACAATATACTGTATATGCTATTTGGTTCTCAGTGATATTAAACTGCACAAAACAATTACTGATAACAAAGCATAACTAATGTTTTCTGTTGCTCACTGTACAATAATAATTCAATGGATTTAAAAGTAAACTGAATGAGTTCTGAAGGTTGACATTCCTAATATTACTAAAATGGCAGCTAAATACTGTATGAAGACCATCAACATGCTGCAGTTAATGTTAAATATTACTGTGTAAATTACAGTGAGTACACCTTGTTCATTTAATATTAATAATGTGTAATATACATTGTGTATAGTAAGTGTATCATTTTAAAAAACAATTTGATTTGTATTGTTGCAAGATATTTAGAGGACGTCACAGTCCTCTTGTTAAGAATGATCATATCTGTAGGCGAGGGAGACCCGTTATTTTACTGTAAGAGACCTGATGTGAATAATGTTTTTGCAATAAATTCCAAGTGAAAATCTTGACATTTAGGATAGTTTGATAAAGTGACTGACTTGTATTAATAGTTCCCAGTGTATAGCTCAATAGGTGTTATAGCATTGGAGAAGTTCATTAACAATTTAGTTGTTGTAGAAACAATTCAAATAAGAAATTAATCAATACCTGAACTGAATATTGACTATTTTTCAGTGTAGTAAATAGACCATTTTAATTTCCATAAAATCTGCTTCGGAATACTGGTGGCTTGATATTTTTATTCAAATTTTGTTTTCATATATTCTTCATCTCAACATTAAAGTTTGAGAGGCTTATGGATGAGCAGATTGAACTTTTAAGTATTTTATCCAGGATAAAACCTGGTTAGTGACTTGTCATTTGTTAATATGAGAACAGTATGTGTTCATGTTTTGAAATGTTTACTCATCAAATAGATTTCTTTCTTTTGGTTAAAATGTAACCGAGAGGTATAATATAATATTGGCCAAACAATATCCTGTCCTAACCAGGATGCTGTAGTATCTCATGAGGAATTGGACATCATCTACGTGGTGTCCCATTAGGTTAACTCGGACATTATAACAATGTTAATCAGTTAGTATTAAATGGGTATGTTTTCTCCAATATAGATAAATTAATTACAAACATTGGTCATAATGAACACTGACTCTTAGGGCTCCATTTAAGAAAGTGTTGCACTTCTTTAATCTTTAAACGATGTGAAATATTTAGCGTATGTGTTCTTGAGATATATATATTTGTTTGTTAAAATTAAGCCCAAAAGATTTGTCATGTTCACATGACTATTCTGTTTAGGGAGCTAGTCCAAGCTCTGCCAACTGCATGTGATAGTAATGCCTGGTCAACGCGAAACTCTGTCTTCCATAGATTATGGTAGATAAGATTACAGTACAGTTTCTTCCTGACGTAGATGTCAAGTAGATTGTAAACTGTATCTTGATGTCATGACTGTCAAATTAAGTGGCAAAATTTACAGATTAGCAGTAGGTTTTTTTTTATTGAATGCAAGTATATACTGTAGTCTGTATTTTACTCTTTTAAGTTACAATATGGTATTAATGTGATAAAATCCGTCTACCTAAGATAATAATTGGTCTTCTTTTACAATAAAGATCATACTAATACAGTACAGTACAGTAGTCCATTCTGAGAATTTTAAGCACTCTTCAAATTATTAATTGAAATCAAACGCATAGATCAGTGATGTGCTTTGCCTGTGCAGTATGTTAATTTCTTGCTGTACAGTAATTTGTTTTTCCCAGTTAGCCAAATTTTACCAGAAATTCCATATTGTACAGTACTGTATTCCAATTTCTAATTTTGAAAGTTGGACATAAGGGTGTATGTACTGAAATGGTGATCATTGTGTTGCAATATCTTTTCAGATTAAATACTTAAGTCTCTTTGTCATCACCTGCTTTGAACTTAGGAAGAGGTGGCATGAAGTACTGTAGGTAAGTTTGATGCCGGTCCTAATTTAGAAGTGAATCTTTTATTTGTTTATAGTTGAAAGCCAACCATGTAATCTGTCATAGGAAGTGGGTATGAATCCTACCCCTCTTCATAGATAAGTTACTTATATATATAAGATACTGTTAGTAAAGATAATATAATAATACTGTAGTTTGTTGTATCCTAAGTTAAGAAGTAAATGCAAAATACAGTACTGTATATAATCCAATTTCAATCATTCTTACAACAAATGGTAATGTTAGAAATTTTTTTAACATATCCACTAACTAGGATAAAAACTAAGTGGGATATTTAATGGAGTAAGCAGGACAAAGATGAAGGTGTCTCAGTATGGTGTGTCACTATGGTGTGTGTGTGTGTCACTGGTGTGGTGAGTGTGCTACTATGGTGTGTGTCACTGGTGTGGTGAGTATCACTATGGTTGTGTGTCACTGGTGTGGTGAGTGTGTCACTATGGTTGTGTGTGTCACTGGTGTGGTGAGTGTGTCACTATGGTGTGTTTGTGAGTGTCACTGGTGTGGTGAGTGTATCACTATGGTTGTGTGTCACTGGTGTGGTGAGTGTCACTATGGTGTGAGTCACTATGGTGTGTGTCACTGGTGTGGTGAGTGTGTCACTGGTGTGGTGAGTGTGCCACTATGGTGTGTTTGGGTGTCACTGGTGTGGTGAGTGTGTGTCACTATGGTGTCACTGGTGTGGTGAGTGTGTCACTGGTGTGGTAGTGTGTCACTGGTGTGGTGAGTGTGTCACTGGTGTGGGTGAGTGTGCCACTGGTGTGTGGTGTGTGTCTATGGTGTGTGTGTGTCACTGGTGTGGTGAGTGTGTGTGCCCTGGTGTGGTGAGTGTGTCACTGGTGTGGTGAGTGTGTCACTATGGTGTGTGTGTGTCACTGGTGTGGGTGAGTGTGTCACTATGGTGTGTGTGTGTCACTATGGTGTGTGTCACTGGTGTGGTGAGTGTGTCACTGGTGTGGTGGGTGACTATGGTGTGTGTGTCACTATTGTGGTGAGTGTGTCACTGTGTGGTGGGGGTGTGTCACTGGTGTGGTGAGTGTGCCACTGGTGTGGTGTGTGTGCCACTGGTGTGGTGATGTCACTATGGTGTGTGTCACTGGTGTGGTGAGTGTGCCACTGGTGTGGTGGGTGTGCACTATGGTGTGTCACTGGTGTGGTGAGTGCCACTATGGCGTGTGTGTCACTATGGGAGTGTGTCACTGGTGTGGTGGGTGTGCCACTATGGTGAGTGTGTGTCACTGGTGTGGTGAGTGTGCCACTATGGAGTGTGTGTCACTGGTGTGGTGAGTGTGCCACTATGGAGTGTGTGTCACTGGTGTGTTGATGTGTGCCACTATGGAGAGTGTGTGTCACTGGTGTGGTGAGTGTGCCACTATGGTGTGTGTGTGTCACTGGTGTGGTGAGTGTGCCACTATGGAGTGTGTGTCACTGGTGTGGTGAGTGTGTGCCACTATGGAGTGTGTGTCACTGGTGTGGTGAGTGTGTCCACTATGGAGTGTGTGTCACTGGTGTGTGGTGAGTGTGCACTATGGAGTGTGTGTGTCACTGGTGTGGTGAGTGTGTGTCACTATGGTGTGTGTGTGTGTTCACTGGTGTGGTGAGTGTGCCACTATGGTGTGTGTGTGTCACTGGTGTGGTGGGTGTGCACTATGGAGGTGTGTGTCACTGGTGTGGTGGTGTGCCACTATGGAGTGTGTGTCACTGGTGTGGTGAGTGTGCCACTATGGAGTGTGTGTGTCACTGGTGTGGTGAGTGTGTGCCACTATGGGAGTGTGTGTGTCACTGGTGTGGTGAGTGCCACTATGGCGTGTGTGTGTGTGTCACTGGTGTGGTGAGTGTGCCACTATGGAGTGTGTGTCACTGGTGTGGTGGTGTGCCACTATGGTGTGTGTGTGTCACTGGTGTGGTGAGTGCCACTATGGGTGTGTGTGTGTCACTGGTGTGGTGGTGTGTGTGTCACTATGGGGTGTGTGTCACTGGTGTGTGTGGTGTGTCACTATGGAGGTGTGTGTCACTGGTGTGGTGAGTGTGCCACTATGGAGGTGTGTGTCTGGTGTGGTGAGTGTGCCACTATGGAGTGTGTGTCACTGGTGTGGTGAGGTGTGCCACTATGGAGGTGTGTGTCACTGGTGTGGTGAGTGTGTCACTATGGTGTGTGTCACTGGTGTGGTGAGTGTGTCACTATGGTGTGTCACTGGTGTGGTGAGTGTGTACTATGGTGTGTGTCACTGGTGTGGTGGTGTGTCACTATGGTGTGTGTCACTGGTGTGGGTGATGTGTCACTATGGTGTGTGCTGGTGTGGTGGGTGTGTCACTATGGTGTGTGTCACTGGTGTGGTGAGTGTCACTATGGTGTGTGTCACTATGGAGAGGTCACTGGTGTGGTGAGTGTGTCACTATGGTGTGTGTCACTGGTGTGTTGAGTGTGTGTCACTATGGTGTGTTTGTGAGTGTCACTGGTGTGGTGAGTGTATCACTATGGTGTGTGTGTGTCACTATGGTGTGGTGTGTGTGTCCTTTTATGGTGTGTGTGTCACTGTGGTGTGTGTGTGTGTGTGTGTCACTGTGGTGTGTGGTGTGTGTCACTGGTGTGTGTGTGTCACTGTGGTGTGTGTGTCACTATGGTGTGTGTGTGTGTGTCACTATGGTGTGTGTGTGTGTGTCACTGTGGTGTGTGTGTGTGTCACTGGGTGTGTGTGTGTGTCACTGTGGTGTGTGTGTGTGTGTGTGTGTCTGCTATGGTGTGTGTGTGTGTCACTATGGTGTGTGTGTGTGTGTGTGTGTGTGTCACTATGGTGTGTGTGTGTCACTGTGAATTGTGTGTGTGTGTGTCACTTGGTGTGTGTGTGTGTGTGTCACTGTGGTGTGTGTGTGTGTGTCACTGTGGTGTGTGTGTGTGTGTCACTATGGTGTGTGTGTGGTGTCTGCTATGGTGTGTGTGTGTGTGTCACTATGGTGTGTGTGTGTGTGTCTTTCTATGGTGTGTGTGTGTGTGTCACTATGGTGTGTGTGTGTGTGTCACTATGGTGTGTGTGTCACTATGGTGTGTGTGTGTGTCACTATGGTGTGTGTGTGTCACTGTGGTGTGTGTGTGTGTCACTATGTGGTGTGTGTGTGTGTGTGTCACTGGTGTGGTGAGTGTGTCACTGTGGTGTGTGTGTGTGCTGTGGTGTGTGTGTGTGTGTCACTGTGGTGTGTGTGTGTGTCACTGTGGTTGTGTGTGTCACTATGGTGTGTGTGTGTGTCACTATGGTGTGTGTGTGTGTCACTATGGTGTGGTGGGTGTGTCATAGTTGTGTGTGTGTGTGTGTCACTATGGTGTGTGTGTGTGTGTGTCACTATGGTGTGTGTGTGTGTCACTATGGTGTGTGTGTGTGTGTCACTATGGTGTGGTGAGTCTGTCACTTTATGGTGTGTGTGTGTGTGTGTCACTATGGTGTGTGTGTGTGTGTGTGTCACTATGGTTGTGTGTGTGTGTGTGTGTGTCACTGTGGTGTATGTCACTGTGGTGTGTGTGTGTGTGTGTCACTATGGTGTGTGTGTCACTGTGTGTGTGGAGTGTGTCACTATGGTGTGTGTGTCACTATGGTGTGTGTGTGTGTGTGTCTGTGGTGTGTGTGTGTGTGTCACCTTAGTTGTGTGTGTGTGTGTGTGTCACTGTGGTGTGGTGAGTGTGTCACTATGGTGTGTGTGTGTGTGTGTGTCACTATGGTGTGTGTGTGTGTGTGTGTCACTATGGTGTGTGTGTGTGTGTGTGTGTGTCACTGTGGTGTGTGTGTGTCTTTATGGTGTGTGTGTGTGTGTGTGTCACTGTAATTGTGTGTGTCACTATGGTGTGGTGGAGTGTGTCACTATGGTGTGTGTGTCACTGGGTGTGTGTGTGTGTGTCGCTGTGGTGTGTGTGTGTGTGTCACTATGGTGTGTGTGTGTGTGTGTGCTGTAGGTGTGTGTGTGTGTGTGTCCGCCTGGTGTGTGTGTGTGTGTCACTTTATGAATTGTGTGTGTGTGTGTCACTGTGGTGTGTGTGTGTGTGTCACTATGGTGTGTGTGTGTGTCACTGTGGTGTGTGTGTGTGTGTCACTGTAGTTTGTGTGTGTGTGTGTCACTATGGTGTGTGTGTGTGTGTCACTATGGTGTGTGTGTGTGTGTGTCACTATAGTTGTGTGTGTGTGTGTCACTGCCAGATTGTGTGTGTGTGTGTCTTCTGGTGTGTGTGTGTGTGTCACTATGGTGTGTGTGTGTGTGTCTTTATGGTGTGTGTGTGTGTGTCACTATGGTGTGTGTGTGTGTCACTATGGTGTGTGTGTCACTGTGTGTGTGTGTGTGTCACTTCCTGGGTGTGTGTGTGTGTCCGCTATGGTGTGTGTGTGTGTGTCACTGTGGTGTGTGTGTGTGTGTCACTATGGTTGTGTGTGTGTGTCTGTGGTGTGTGTGTGTGAGTGTCACTATGGTGTGTGTGTGTGTGTGTCACTATGGTTGTGTGTGTGTGTGTGTCACTATGGTGTGTGTGTGTCACTATGGTGTGTGTGTGTGTCACTATGTGGTGTGTGTGTGTGTCACTATGGTGTGTGTATTATTGTCACTATAATTGTGTGTGTGTGTATGTGTCACTGTGGTGTGTGTGTGTGTGTGTGCACTATGGTGTGTGTGTGTCACTTTATGGTGTGTGTGTGTGTGTCACTATGGTGTGTGTGTGTGTCCTTTATGGTGTGTGTGTGTCACTGGTGTGTGTGTGTGTGTCACTATGGTGTGTGTGTGTGTGTCACTATGGTGTGTGTGTGTGTGTCACTTTATGGTGTGTGTGTGTGTGTCACTGTGGTGTGTGTGTGTGTCACTGTGGTGTGTGTGTGTGTGTCACTATGGTGTGTGTGTGTGTCACTGGTGTGTGTGTGTGTGTCACTGTGTGTGTGTGTGTCACTGTGGTTGTGTGTGTGTGTGTGTGTCACTGTGGTGTGTGTGTGTGTGTCATATGGTGTGTGTGTGTGTGTCACTATGGTGTGTGTGTGTGTGTCACTGTGGTGTGTGTGTGTGTGTCACTGGTGTGGTGAGTGTCACTGTGGTGTGTGTGTGTGTGTGTGTGTGCTGTGGTGTGTGTGTGTGTGGGTGTCACTGTGGTGTGTGTGTCCTGG